CTAACAAAATCATTAACACATGGTGTAGACCGACGCATGTGTAATCGGTTCAAAAAGCCGTCATCGACAACTCAAATTAACTCGGCACCGAATCTTGGCGTCAGAAACATGAGTTGGTTAACGAGTTCCAGCCGAATGTTTGGACCATTTCATTTGTGTGCGCATACAACAAACTATACAAATTATTTCTGTAAAGTATTTCGTCACGCATACTTGGGATTTGTTCGACCCAAAACCCGGTGACTCTAGACATCATTCATTCAGAAATTGACTGGACAACCCAATTCTAGTTAATGGCAAAAGGGTTGTCAATTATATTTCGAGTACGGTGCGTACGAAAAGCCACAAATAACGGTTCTAGAGTACGAGTCCAAAACTCTAATGCGTTATTACTTTACTTCTAAAGTCGTCTTCAGACATGAAATATGTGCGTTTTAAACAACACAAGAAACTCAAATATGCTTAAAATCTTGTTGTAATTTACAAGAGTAGCAGTAGATTACAAAATGTATGTTTACGTGGACCGGTTATAAATCGATGACTGCTTTCAAGGAAATTAATAGAGCTTAAAAGAAGCCTATACGAATTACCTGGACGTTAGAGCCAAAAATTGCAAATAAAACGCTGTCATTTTCGCAGCTAAGCCACGATGAGTGGCAGAAAATTATTAAGAAATAATACGTTACTAAAGAGGCCACTAAGTGAAATTACATAGGCCGATGACAGCGCGATTTCAGAATGGGGGTAGATAAATAACGCAATTAGTGAGGTGATTGATAGTTTTACCAGGAACCGAACTTGGGATACTTATCTAATACCTTTTTTGTTATAGATAGGTGGGATCCCTTTTCGGTATATTGGTGTGGGGTGTGTAACATCGTCATCGTGATTTCACTTGATGTTCGAGGAATATTAGAGAATTTATACGCACTAGTGAAAAGGTCATCACATCACATTAAATGATACTTATGTGTTTGTGTTATAATGTATCAGGAATGATGTAGCTACAATATATAAAGTGCCTATCTTTTGATGTGATAACGTAATTACCCAGTATCCTATGTAGGCATTCTAAAAGCATTAGGATACATGACGGCTCCTGTGTGATGTTCCTTTATCCCACAATAATATGAGATATATCTATTTACAGGTCAATCTTTTTATGTTATCTGTCTAAATTGAGCATAGTTTATCATATTATATTAAGTTTTTTAATATTACATGCTTAAAATTTATTGTACCTACTCAGATACATCATTTTGAAGTGGGAGAATGTTGGCAAATGGATAGATACAATTATAATAGTTATATCATTTTAGTTTTAAGTTTTCTTTTAGTTTTATTTGTCTTCTATGTATATAAATTTTACACTGTGTCTGATGTCTATATTCATATTTATATCGTAGGTCTGCAGGAAGAAATTCCCTAAGGAATATGCAGTACCTAAGCTTGTATTAAGTTGTTCTCTGTCATATTGTCTGCTGTATGGTGTACATGATGTGATAAATAAATACAATTGCTATTAATTGCAATAAATACCAATGTGAATCGGGTTTCTTTCGCTGTACAATTTTAAGGTCATAATAGATTCACTTAATTTTAAAATTACTAAACAAAAATTTATTTAAAAAATACGCATCCGTTGAGTGAACGCAACGCAGTGCGGTGTCGTGAGAATCCCATTCATTGCGGTCAATTTGGCGTAATGTAATCAATTGCAGAACCAATAAAATAAATCAGAGGAGACAGTTTTAATTGATACCGCTCACTATTAACTGCGAACTATAGATGTCACCCGTTGAAACTAAAAATCTGTTTGATACACCCGCCTAACAATATTGTTACATCTTTTCGAAAACAACAAGAAAATTGATTAGGCTTTAGAAAAAATGGTAAACTTTACTATGCATCCTCTTTTTGTTGATTACCTATGTGTCTAAGTCACATATTCAAGAGGTGGATGGGAATATTTAATTGATATATTGTGAAAAACAGGCTTGAAGTTCAGTAGATAGCTACCTAATTAAGTTTCAAATCATTTCTAAAATTCATTAAACTATAAATTAGCAATGTAACCCCAATTGATTCAGTTCCAAATGGGTAAATAGATAATAAATTAATTATTACATTGTATAGACCACAAATTGAAACGTGACCGCCATGAATTATTAAATGATATGTCATTTGTACGGAATAAAATTCATATTAATGATAGACCCTATATTTGTTTTGTCAAATTAAAATATCAACTATTTATCGCGTAAACGGTTGTGGGTAAATAAAATTGCACGTCAATGGTCCAATCACATGCATTTTTAATAACGGCATAGTTTTAAAATTCGAACGGACGCCATTAATATTTGATTCAAATGCGGTTTTGTGACAGTACTAGGATTGAAGTATTATTTGATTGGTTTTTGAATTGTAATTATTAATATTAAATTTTGATATTTTTTTGTGCAAACCTGTAAACCATATCCATTAAAAGGCATACAGATTCTTTACATAGTAACGTAGATACATTAAGGGTACTATTGTACATACGTAACTGTACGTAACAATACACAATCACCTTTGTAAAACAACAAATAGGCGCACAAATACCCACGTAGAGCAACTAGAGAGCAAAGTTTACAAACAATCAGGGCACAATAAAACAGCACTACCCTTTGAGTCCAGCAATGATTGAGTGAGGCTCGCGGCCTGTTTATTTACATATCGACTCAATTAACGAATACACCGGAGCTCATTATCCATTCAAATCGCAATCGCAGCTTTCCCACGTTAGCCGATTTTCCAGCGAAAACTCAATGAAAACTTCATAACAGTGTTGACTTTACGCTCGGAAACGGATCGCGTAATGGCCTTTGTTGTGCACAAAAAGCGACTGATCCGGCCCAGATCCGCTTTGTATAGCCCGCTTGCTTTAGTCAGTTGACAACATAATTATCGACTGTTGTGCAGCGTCGAAATGGGCCGGTCAACGCACCGACGACGTCGAAATAGACGATGCCACACCGCTGTTGCGACCGCGCTCTAAGCCTTTAAGGGAACCCACCATTTTTACAACATGTCCTGTGCGTAAAGCAATAAAGTCTAAATTGCATTGCCATTAATTTAACCAAGAGCCAGAAGATAAGTATTGTGGGTAGTTGACGTTCGGTCTAATTTTATTAGGTCTCTAAGATGCATACCGGTCTGTTTACTTATAGTAGTTATGCCTCTATTGAATGCAGTAAATCTAATCGATTGTCTATTAATGAACCGTTGGGAGAATAGATGGTGCAGCCATCCATCGTCGATGTTTCATTATGTCTGTTTAAATCTATGGTCATTTTGAATGAGAACGTTACATTAATAACGAGACAAAGTTAATCTGAAAGTGATATAACTCATGAAACACGAGAGAAGCAACAATTTTATGCGGCGAACATCTCGGTAACTCATAAAAAAGTCGTTTTTAAAACCTCGGGCTAGAGATGCACTTTAATGTGGCTCGCGGCATTGCTGCAGAATGTGACTAAATGAGTTCAACTTCGTTCCCTAGATGGCGGTGTACACAATCTCTCATTTGCAGGGAGGTAGATATCTTCGTTATTAGTGATGCGCCAACAGAGGTCGTTCCTTTATTTGTTGTAGCTAAACTAGACAATTCAGTATATGATTAATTTTGTAACAATTTAATCGCAAATAACAATTTCAACCAAGTTTTAACTATGTTACAAATATACAAAACATGTAACTATAATAGTGTAAAGACTTTAAGAGAAATGAACACGCTTTTACACAAATAAAATAATATTATAAAAGGTATTATGTAAGGGGCTCCGAAAATTCTATTGCTCACATTTTAATCCCTTCCGGCTTGGTTAGTCCCAGAGAGCAAACCTTTATGAAAACCACACCTTAAAAACAGGTAGGTACCTACCTGCCGACATACATATTTTATACGAAGACTGAAAGTCGAGAAATTAGAAAGAGCAACCCTTAATTGTGAACTAACTAACCCTTTAAACGCGTTACCACGTCTACGAACGACCCAAAACAATTAAGATAGGGGTACCTAATAATTTTAATAAAATGACACGTGCTCACCAAAATAATTCACTTGGGAGATATTAAGAAAATTCGACCGAATTACATGGATAATCGTAATTGTTCTAAATTATTTTTATTACACGTTGTACAGCTAATGTCGATCCTAACTTAGTTAAAAAATTAGCTAATTTTAAGTATAAATACAATAAAAATTAGATTGAAAATTCAGTTTCAATTCATTTCGCAGACTAGATTCCAATAAGAATTTGAAAATTATTTGCATCTGTTAGTCCTATCTATTATGGTTATAAATAAACATAATATGTATATTTTAAACATAGCCAATTAATCAAAAATATTATGCGTTAGCACTAACATATCACACAGGTGAAAAAGCCAGGCAAAATAGTATCAAATAAAAATAAATTTAAACGGACAACGGAATTAAAATCATAGGGTAATATTTCAAACTAAATGTTAACGATGACACGGGCCTGTTATAAATCAGCGTAGGGTTAAGAAAATATCATTTATGATACAAAAGCATGCTGTTCAGAACCTTTTCATCTCTGATTAATATAAAGATACATATAGAATATAGGTAGATTATGTTTGTAAAATGAAAACTGAGTGATAACTAGATTTCATTGTAATAGTAAAAGTGTAATAAGGAGTTACGATATTCTTTCTGTAATTTAACGAATGTAAAGAGAATATGAAATGACACCGAAATTCATTTGAATTAAGTTTCAGGAAACTTCTTATTTTTACAAACATTCATCCATTCACCAATTCCGCCTGTCTCCCATGGCGGTGGGGAAAGAGCGATTCTTACATACCTCTTTCGTTCATCTTTCGCTCATCGGTTAAGGGACTTTTAATTTGGCCTTTCTTTAATATATCGCCAAACTTTCTTCTTTTTCTTTCTTTCTTCTAAAAAAACGTCCCCACGTGTGTCGTGGGTGCGTTTACAAACATACAAGTTCACATACACAATGACACCCAGACCCGAAACAATAATTTATGGATCACAAAAAGTGTTGTTCCGTGTGGGAATCAAACCCGCGACGCGTTGCACGGCAGTCGGTTGCCCAGCCACCGCACCAACCGTGCAGTCTGGTCTGGTCTTCTGCAATCTGGTCGACATATGTTTTACAAGACATGATTGCGAAGAAAATATCGCTACTGTTACTTTGACTTCATCACCCCTACCTTCCCGACTATCGAAATAAGACTGATGATATCTGCAGCTTTGTATACATTTACATTTACAAAATATTAGTAAACTAGGTCAGTTCATAACTTAAGTACAGAAAAACTTACTTTAGTGAGTAACTCAACACTGTATTAACATACAATGTACTCATATTTTTATACTGTATATTTACTTAGTATTTTACTTTACACTTTACTTTACAGTAAAGTACAAACATAATATCTGACTATTTGCTTTGAAAGTAAATATTTCAAGTTCTATGCTATTAAGGTATTTTAAAATCTAGAAACTCTTGTAGGATACCTACTTTTTGCAAAACTTATGCATCGAAATGGACAACACAGAATTACCAACACAAGTTATTTATTTATTGTTACATTTTAATACAGTTTAACAACATTGAACCAAAGCTGGTTTGTAATAAAGTACATTAGTCAATCAAATAGCTATAAATAAACAAATATTAACACATGAATTTATGATTAACAAGCAACAGATATGTTAAAAAATAAACTTATTAAATAAAAGAATACGGAAGAACATAAATTAAGAAGAAATGAATCATAAAATGAAAATGTCCACACATTTTCGTCCGTGTCTACATTCTACAGGAAAAATCAAGATGTCATAAAGTTCCAACGAAAACGTTATGAATGACAGTTAGTTATAAAGAAACTAAAAATAAGTTTTGTCTAAAAAAAGAGGACTGCCTATTGATGATACATGGATTTATAAAAATAAAATTAACAAACTTCTCGGCCGCAGCTTTGGTTCATGGAGTTTAGAAATGTCATATAACAACCTACTTATAATTTCTTAGGTTGGTTAGGTTCATTATGTCTTCTCGTATTATATATTATCACTATATAATATAGTAGCACCCCGTTCCGGCTTCGGACGGGGTAGACAATTATTTATTTTTAGAAATTTGGATTGTTGTAGTGACATAACTACAATAGTTGGACATATGATACCGCGGAGTTTTTTGTATAGACATATGATGTTCTTCAATATTGTTGTACATTATTTTGTTCTATCGCTAATTATTTCTGCAGCGCATTTGACAGAAAGACATTTTAAGACTCATTTTTCTACACCTTCGGTTACATTGTTTAAATTTTACCAAGGATCCCTAATTTTTTTCAAAATGAAATATAGCCTATGTCAAATTGGAAGAATGTAGCATTCTTTTGGTGAAAGATTTTTTTTAAATGGGCTCTGTACTTTTTGAGCCTATTCATTACAAACATATAAAAATAGGTACAAATCTTTCCTCTTTATAATATTAGCATACCTCTAGAAAACAAAGTCGCTATTCGCCGTCTGTCTGTCCCTATGTATGCTTAGATCTTTAAATCTATGCAATGGATTTTGCTGCGGTTTTTAATAGATAGAGTGATTCTTACGGAAGGTTAACATGCATACATGCATATTGCACCCGTGCAAGGCCGGGGCGGGTCGCTAGTACCTAATAAATAACATAATTATTTTACACATTGATAAGGATTATTTATCTTTAAACAATTGAAAGGCTTATTTAAATTAACTACTAAAACCTTTTTTAAACTAAAGTTTAGATATAACATAATATATTAGGATTTCTTTAAAGTCTAAAATTTCTTACTTGTTCCATTGCGTCGGAAGTAGGTAAGTACCTAGGTATAAAGGTTGACGTCCCGTGTCACTTTATGAGTCGTATCGTAATGTTAGACAGCCTAAAACTTAGCTTAGTAATTAGACTTTAATTTTATTGCCCTGTCTCTCTCTCTCGAATGAAAAAAGAATACCTCAAATTTATCTGTAAGACTAGTCAGCTATTTTTAAAAATAGACGTGTTTTTTGAAACGTTTTTGTTACTAAACTATTACTTTTTGAGATTGGTATAATCTCTTTAAAACCTTTAATTTCATTTTCTGTATCGTTAGAGTTCAATTAAGTCTTTGCATTGCATGTTTTGGTGATCACACCCCGTAGGTACATACATACATCACATATTTCAATAAAAAATGATAACATAACTATTATTGAAGAAATCAATCCTCCTCCTTTACTCAATTAATATTGTTATGAACAAGAAACACAAACATAATTTAAATATACAACAAAGGAATAATCAAGAACTAATAATTCAAACGACAAAATAATAATAGGTATGACATGTGCACCCCATATGCTTTGACAGGTTATTTTTTTTTATTAGTGCCGGGACGCAAATAGATCTCGGTTACTTTGTCTCTTTCGGAAAAAAGGTATGTCACTCGTCAACTTGGGTCGGCACTACGCTTCTGTCGTGATGAGTGTGTATCGTCAGCAGATAAACTAAACGTGTGAAGATATCGAATTTCTTACCAAATTAGATTCAGTGTAACAAGAAATTTTAAAATCAAAAAGAATAAATTTGTTGATACATATAATTGCGATGTGTGATATCTGAGTAGATTTTTGTACCCTTAAAATGTCGTATAATTTCGTTAAGAATTACGGAAGCTATGCTCCTAGAATGCTAGAAAAGCAAAAGTGAATTTAGTAAATTAATTCCCAAACATCAGTCATGATTTTGAACTCTATAGATCCACTGTGTCTTCCCGTATAGAGTACAGAGTTCCATACCGGTTCGATATATCCATATCGGTTAGATATTCATCAGTTCCTACAAAATTTCTCTGTAATCCTCAGTAGACAGAATCTAGAATTGTGTTCGGTGTATGACGATAGGTTACATCAACAGGCGGTGACGCCTGTTGATGTAACATTGTTTATGTTAATCTCTACCGACCTCTCTGTATTTTAAGTCATTATGTTTATTAATTTACTTGACTGATTTAACTACTAGATTGTACAAAGAAACTAATTTTATTGTACGCTAATGTCGTGTCCAACGTTACATTCTCGACGTGTGTCAATCTCAAGAGGATCGATTATAATTAGATAACCCGGTGGACATGTTCTACATATTTCTGTCGTCAGCACACTGGTTACAAACAAACAGCTTTAATTAAACGTTAATAATGTTTATTAATTAGCTGTAAACACGCTTCCTTATTAATTGGGAATAATTATTATAGGATATTAATAGGGAATTAGATTGTTCACTACTAATGCTGAGCTAACATCAATATTAACAGTATGAAACTTGTCTATTGTCCTTAAAGATTTAGTAGTGTGTCACAAATATGAAAGATATGTCCCAAGGTTCTGAAACCAAATGCCAATTTGTAAGAATGGCTATCGATTTGCTAATGACAAATACTCAATACTTACCTCGTTTTCGCATTGAGTATGTGTGAAGTAATAGATTAATAATTATTTATTTCATATTAAGTTATACTCTCTTAATATCAAGTAAGTATACTCTTCTTTAACGGATATTAAACATGCAAACTTTTATATCTCTTCTTTAACAGATAATAAACATGCAAATATGTAGTGTATTTTTATCCAAAAGAAAATAAAATAATGCAATCCTCAACTAATCCAATTAAGCTCAAGAAAATGCAATTTATTTACAATTCTAAACTCTAAACAGGCGCCGCCGTTAATAAAATTTAATTCAACACTTAGATATTCTTTTGTAAAAAGTTAGACTTTACGATTTGCTCAAAACATTGTCGTAATTTTCAGATAATTTTCACAGTTAATTCTATAATTTAATTATCGTTTCGTATAAAAAAGATTTTTCGGTGCGAAGATCCTTTGGGGCTTAAATAAATGAGCATCAGTGGACACCTTTTGTTTCACACGGCTCGGGAATTTCGAAGAATTATTCCCAAGTTTTCGAAGTGTTCGGGAAATCAATCAGTCTAATTTTTCGTTGGTACTTCGTTATGAGGATATACTTTTCCTGGTAAAGCATCAATATCAATATATCCTATACTGATAGAATTAAGGATGCTATGCTCCTAGAATGCTAGAAAAACAGAAGTGTATTCAATAAATGAATTGCCAAACATCAGTCATGATTTTGAACCCTATAGTTTTAAACTACTAACAAACATTTTTGACATCAAAGATTTTTAAACCACAGCTTAGAAATAAATACATACTATACACTTACACAATTGTATGTAAAGTTCACATAGTTTACTTTCTTTCCCAGTTACAAGAGCTAAACATGATTCAACGTCAGTTTTCTCGCCAGGTGTAAAATTAATGAGTCCTTTCAAATGTTGTTCGCAATATAATTAGTTATTTTCATGTTCAACTCGTTCGTAATTCACAGAGGCAGTTGTTTGCGACAACGCACGTGACTCGAGGAAAATTAAAGTATAGGTACCTACTCTTAAAACTTGTACTAGTGCAACTAATAGATAGTTTTTACTAAGATATTTAATAGCGTTATTGTAGTTAAAAATGCCGTGGTGGCCCGGAGGTTTAAGACGCCCGCTTCTCATGCATGAGGGTGCGAATTCGAAACCTACCAACGGCAAGTATCAATGTGACTTTTTCCAAGTTAGTTATATGTACTTTCTAAGATTATTTAGACACCACTGACAAAAGGAAAACATCGTGAGGAAACCTGGGCTTATAATTTCTTATAATAAGTTTGTAATCGCCAACCCGCTTTGAGCAAGCGTAGTGATTAATGCTCAAACCTTCTTCGTGTGAGAAGAGGCTTTGCTCAGCAGTGGGTATTTATAGGCTGTTGATGATGAAGACATTTAATAGGAAAAAATGTAGTGATATAGTAAATAAATGGCGAAGTAGTACAATCTAGTGATTATGCGGTTACCATGGTTTATAAAAAAAAATGCAAACCCCTAATAACATGTGGTCTTTGAAAAAGACGGATTAAGGAAACTGACTAGAATAAAAAGAACAAGCTCAAGATAAATAAGATAAGCGCAGTACAATCTGGCGATAAGGTATCTAAGCTATGTATGTATCTTCAAAAACATTACATTGGTAGATAGGTACTTGTCTAAAAAATGGAATCTCAACACAAAGTACTGATTTAGCTTTAATCCATATCAATACTTCACGTGGATTCTACTCCTAACGGAGAATAGTATATTATTC